TAGAAACTTTCCTAAAATAGAAATATTCTCAAAATAGAAAGTTTCATCATCAGCATTCAAAATTTTCTAAAAAAAATCCCTAACAAAATCAATCTCATGTTTCAGATGTCAAACATTCAGAAATGTGAATTCGAGGCCCTTCACGTCTCCGGGGATAACTACCTCGAGTGGGCCCTAGACATGCGCTTGTTCCTTGCATCGAAAGAACTCGATGCGTGTATTACCGACGGTAACACCGCATCCCGTAAGGGACAGTCTCAGGCGATATGTCACATACGCCATCATCTGGCCCCGAGCCTTAAACAGCAATATCTCACTCTTGAGAATCCACTTGAATTGTGGCAAGCACTGAAAAAGCGATATGACCATCAGAAAATGGTCCAGTTGCCTCAGGCAGATTTCGACTGGAAGAACCTTCGGTTCCAGGACTACAAATCCGTAGATGATTACAACAACGAACTCTTTCGTATTGTTGCCATCCGGAAACTCTGTGGCGAGGATGTGACAGATAATGATCTCCTCGAGAAAACATTATCCACATTCAGCACAGAGAATGTTGTGCTCCAACAACAATACCGTGCAATGAAACACACATTGTACGAAGACTTGTTGTCCTGTCTTCTCCTCGCTGAGAAGAATAACCAGCTGCTTATGAGGAACAGCGCTATGAGGCCCCCGGGATCGGCTCCTGTCCCAGCTTCTCGTCAAGAGTCCTACCATGTTCAACCCGATAGATCCTCAGATCACCGCCGTGGACGTGGTAATGGACGTGGTAATGGCCGAGGACATGGACGTGGAAGACGTGGACGCGGACATGGTCGTGGCAACCGACCTAACCTCAGTTATGGTCCTGGTCGTGGTCACATTTTCTGAATTCCTCAATACTGAATTCTATCTTCTATTCATAATAAAGCACACCAGCAAATGGAAATCATAGTCGTAGATAGTGGATCCAGCCACACTATCTTAAGAAACAAAAGTTACTTCATAAACCTAACCTATCAAATCGCAAATATTAGCACCATCGCGGGTCCCTCAAACCTTATCGAAGGATATGGCCATGCCTATGTGTTGCTATCAAATGGCACACAACTTGAAATACCAGATGCTCTATATTCTCCTAGTTCGAAGAGAAATCTTCTGAGCTTCAAGGATATAAGACAGAATGGTTTCCACATAGAAACCCAAGGTCAAGGGAACAAAGAATCCCTCCTAGTCACTAAAACCGTAGACGGCCATAAACAAATCCTCGAAACCATACCCGCGCTCTCTACTGGACTTTACCATGCTAAAGTCAGTATGATTGAAGCTAATACCACTCTCAAAGCCCGGTTTACTGATTATACTATTTGGCACGACCGGCTCGGTCATCCCGGTGCAAATATGATGCGTAAACTAATTCAAAACTCTCAAGGGCATACCCTCAAAGAAAACCGAGCTTATCCTCAACACCTCATGTGCACAGCTTGTTCTCAAGGCAAATTGATCACTCGGCCTTCACCAGTTAAAATCTCTAAACAAACACTTCATTTCCTAGAAAAAATCCAGGGCGATATCTGTGGACCTATACATCCATCTTCCGGACCATTCCGGTACTTCATGGTCCTTATAGACGCATCGACCCGTTGGTCATATGTTTGTCTCTTGTCCTCTCGGAACCAAGCCTTCGCTAGGTTCTTGGCCCAAATCATAAAATTGCGGGCCCATTTCCCTAACTTCCCACTAAAGACTATCCGCCTTGACAATGCTGGTGAATTTACCTCACAAGCGTTTAATGACTACTGTATGGCCATGGGGGTAACCGTGGAACATCCTGTAGCACATGTCCATACTCAAAATGGATTGGCTGAATCATTCATTAAACGCATTCAATGGATAGCCCGACCATTACTCATGAGATCAAAGCTCCCGGCCTCAGCATGGGGACATGAAGTATTACATGCTGCTGAACTCATACGCATCCGGCCATCTAGTGAACACAAATATTCCCCATCCCAACTACTCTCGGGTCATGAGCCAGACATCTCCCATCTCAAAACATTTGGGTGTTCAGTATATGTACCCATTGCTCCACCACATCGAACCAAAATGGGACCTCAATGAAGGATGGGAATATATGTTGGTTTTGACTCTCCCACCATCATAAGATATCTCGAGCCAACCACTGGAAATCTCTTCAAGGCCAGATATGCGGATTGCCAATTCGATGAATCGGTATATCCCTCTTTAGGTGGTGAGACAAACAAGCTGGTCAAAGATCTTTCATGGAATCAAACATCATTAAATTGGCAAGATCCTCGGACTCTAGAATGTGATTCAGAGATCCAAAAGATTATTCATTATCAAAAGCTAGCTAATCAATTGCCAGATTCCTTTGCTGACCCGACCAAAGTAACCAAATCGTACATCCCAGCTTGTAATGCACCAGTACGAATAGCTGTCCCAACGGGACGGACTCAAGTTGCTACAGAGTCTGCACCACGTTTCAAACGGGGCAGACCTCTCGGTTCCAAAGATAAGAATCCCCGGAAATCAAAGAAAGGTGCAATAACCGAAACCGGGATTCCTGCAATATCAGACATAGCCGCGGCTGAGACTCAATCTAATGAACCCTCAATGGAAGTTCGGGACGCCGAATCTCCAGGTTCAGAAGATAACAATGAGATCTCCATCAATTACAATATGTCCGGAATACAATGGAATCGAAAAGAAGTCGACTTAAATGCACTCTTTGCATACAAAGTAGCACTTGATGTTGCGCTCACGCAAGAGGATCTAGAACCCACGTCAATAACACAGTGTACACATCGAACAGATTGGCTAAAATGGAAAGAAGCCATAAACGTGGAGTTAAAGAGTCTCAAACTCAGAAACGTGTTCGGTCCGATCATCCGGACCCCATCACACATCAAGCCAATGGGCCACAAATGGGTCTTTGTGCGCAAAAGGAACGAACTCGGTGAAGTCGTTCGATACAAAGCACGGCTTGTAGCACAAGGATTCTCACAGAGACCCGGAATCGATTATGAGGAGACTTATTCTCCAGTGGTGGATGCAACAACATTCCGATTCCTCATAAGTCTGGCCATAAGAGAAAATCTTGATCTGCGGTTAATGGATGTTGTAACCGCATATCTCTATGGGCCCCTGGACAACGAAATATATATGAGACTCCCAGATGGCATTGAACTAAAAGACAAAAATGCATCTCGAGATCAATACTGCATCAGGCTGAACAAATCCTTGTATGGACTGAAACAAAGTGGGCGTATGTGGTACAACCGCCTCAGCGATTACCTCATCAAAGAAGGCTACAAAAATGACCCCATCAGTCCATGCATCTTCATCAAGAAGTACTCAAACAAAGGATTTGTAATCATAGCAGTATACGTGGATGATCTAAACATCCTCGGAACATCTGGTGAGATCTCCCAAACAGTCGACTGCTTAAAAGCAGAATTCGAAATGAAAGACCTAGGCAAAACAAAGTACTGTTTGGGATTACAACTTGAGTACATCAAAGGAGGAATCCTTGTGCATCAATCGGCTTATATCGAAAAGGTACTCAAGCGATTTAATATGGACCAAGCTCACCCATTGACCAGCCCAATGGTAGTTAGAAGCTTAAGTGATGACCCTCTTGGTCCCAAAAAGGATGATGAAGAAATCCTTGGTCTTGAAAAGCCATACCTCAGTGCTGTAGGAGCGTTAATGTACCTGGCTAGTCACACTAGACCAGACATATGTTTCGCCGTGAACCTCCTCGCTCGATATAGTTCATCTCCAACTCAGAGGCACTGGAACGGTATAAAACATCTCCTAAGATACCTTCGAGGTACTCAAGACTTAGGACTCTTCTATACTAACCAAAATAAAGATGGGTTAGTCGGCTTCGCCGATGCAGGATATCTATCAGATCCGCACACTGCCAAGTCTCAAACTGGCTACGTTTTTACGCATGGAGGAACAGCCATCTCTTGGAGATCAATGAAGCAGACACTCACTGCCACTTCATCAAACCATGCTGAAATCCTAGCCATTCATGAGGCTAGTAGGGAATGCGTCTGGCTGCGCTCCATGACTCAGCACATCCGCAGAGATTGTGGTATGGACGAAGACACACAGCCCACGGTGATGTATGAAGACAACGCGACATGCATAGCTCAGCTCAAGGAAGGATATATCAAAGGAGATCGGACGAAGCACATTCTACCGAAGTTCTTCTCAACCTCAGACTGGCAGAAGGACGGCACTCTCAGCGTTCAGCAGGTCCGATCCAGTGAGAATTCAGCTGACCTCTTCACCAAATCATTGCCTACTTCAACACACCGGAAGCTCGTCAAACAGATATGAATGTATAGACTTAGAGATCTGCAGTGATGCTACAATCAGGGGGAGTAATGCGTGTTGTACTCTTTTTCCTTCACCATGGTTTTGTCCCACTGGGTTTTTCCTGGTAAGGTTTTAATGAGGCAACATTCCCCATCGCATTATCGAGATCCCGATTGAGTAGCTGACCCGGTTCACTCGTCCAAGGGGGAGTGTTATAACACATATCATATATAGACTCTTATACCGGCCCATTAGGCCCATCAGGGCATTGTACTTAACCTAGATTCCCTATGTACTCTATATATACATTCCAGTAATTAATAAAGTTTCTAAGTTTTCACAACAATACATGGATTTTTTTTTGGCGCTTCACAATGATATACATTATACCCTGAGCAATTAAGATAAAATTCAACTAAATCCTTTTTAGATTTTAGTTATAACGTAAACGCACAGGCAATTACCGACAAATAAGTCCACGAAGCATCTTATTTTCTTTCTAGAAACCCTAAAGCAAACTACACTACTTCCTTTCTCTCTCGAAAAACCTGTCTATGTAATTAAAACAGTTTCCAATATTTTTTCCACCATAAATAAACTCTCACCTCCACTTCCTAAATTCACCACCTCAACGTTTCACCTCTGTACCACAAAAGCAAAAACAAACCCTAACCAATCATAACTTCCACCAACAACGCAAAGCTTTCATATTTTCCAAAAGAAGAATGATCAGAAGCAAATCCATAGTCATCAATTCCAATTCCAAGAACAATGCTTCCACTGTGGCCGCAGCAGCGGTAGCAATGAGACGTTCCGCCTCAAACGCTACCGCCGCGGTACACTCTAATGATCTTAACAAAAAACCGACGAGACCACGGTCAGTACATTTTCCCGTATCACCTCAACTGAAACAAGGCGAAGAGATGGTCCATTTTGGACATCCTCAACACGTTCTTGTCAAAGTTGACTTGCCGGATATGTACAACTGTGCTGGGTGCAAAGAAGAAGGAGCAGGGATTAGGTACGTGTGCCAAGAATGCGATTATCAGCTCCATGAGTTTTGTGCTTTGGCTCCTCCTATACTCAAGTCACACCCTTTTCATTACCAGCATCAACTTCTCTTCTTTGCCAAACCTGGTACGCCTCTTTTACCTGTCTCCTCTTCATATAGATTCTATTTCTCTTAATGGTCGGATTTTTATGATAAAACGAGGTGTATTTTTGGTATACATTTCTTTCTAGTGTTGATGCTACCTATAGTGTTATAATTATATACGTTGTTTGTTTTTCAGACTAAGAACTAAACTCACAATATTATATTGAAACCTGAGTAGACTAGTGTCGGCTATAAAAATTGATTGCTTTTCTTATAAATAATATCGCTTTGCTTTAAACATAAAAATTTAGTGGGTATCAAAATACAGAATTAAATCTTTGTTAGGTTGAGAACAGAGAAGACGGCAACTAAAAATATTGTAAATTGATTTCCATATAACAGTTAAAAACAGAAATAAAATGGAGCCTTAATTAAAATACTTAACTTTATTATATACAAAGTACTGGAACGAGTTTCTTTTTTCCCTATCGCGGTAAAATTGTTTGCTCGACAACATGCGGATTTTACATCCGGTTACTATTCATCAATAGAATAATTAGGTGTCACGCTCTTTTTGTTTTTGTTTTTGTTTTTTGTAAACATGCCTTAGGTGTCACGTTAGTACTTCTACCCTAGATTGGATATCTTATCATGAATTATGCCATAATACCTTGGACGAAATATTGTTGATTGGGTTTCTTTTATTTTGACGATGAAACTCAGCAAAAGGAGGAATAATGAAATCGAAATGCGACGTGTGTGGAAGATCACCAAAAGGTTACAACTTTAGATGCAAAGCTTGCAGTTTCCAGATGCATCCTGGCTGCGCCATGTTATCTCCTTCCCTCTCCTCTTCCTCTCTCCACCACCACCCTCTCCAACTCCTCCCCTCCTCCTCCTCCGCCAACAATACCGGCGGAGACTATTCCGGAGGATTCCTCTGCGGACAGTGCAAGAGAGGCAAGCGAGTCGGAAGAGTTTACCGTTGCACTGTCTGCGATTACCACTTGCACGCCGTTTGCGCCAAGGATGCCGCCGTGAACGGCCTCCGGGCAAACGGACACAAAGGGAGGGATAGGTCTCCGGCGGTTTTGGGAACGGCGGCGAGGGTGGCGTCGCAGGTTGTAATTGATTTTCTTGGTGGTATAATAGATGGTCTCGGCGAAGGTGTTGGTGAAGCTATCTTGGACGGTGTTACTAGAGGCGGTGGCGGAGGAAATGGAGGCGTTACTAGGGTAATTCCACGTGTCAGAGGAGGGTAAGTATTGAATTTGGGGATTGTTTGAATAACTAATTAATGAGTGGTTTATGATTGCATTAGTATGTGTTAATGATGCATTTGATAAGTACATAGATTGGGGTATTAATGTGGCGAGGGGGTATATTATTTTGATTAATTTTGGGGACATAATAATAAGAAAATGTGTATTGTTTAATTAGTTTGGATATCTAAGTGATATTATTTCTATAAGGTTTGTATGTTTTGTTCATTAATTTATCTAAGAAGATGATCGTATGTTTCACGTGTAGATGCATAATTGAATACATTGTAACTAATCACCAAAATGCAGATAAACTTTTGGTTTGTTTTGAAATTATCAAAAGTGTACGTTTATAATGATCTGGCTTTTATTGATACGTAACGAGAAATAGAGGTGGAAAAGGCCAAAAAGCTTATACCTGATACTTGTAATAGCATCTTGGAAAAGAGAGGCATGCACATCAAAATTAACTTGGAAAATGAGACCCCACCACTCACATTTTATTTCAATTTTACTAATTGTAACATCCAGTTATCAACTTTTCATTGACTTGGAATGCCCTATATCAAAATTGAATACAGTTAAATAATTTAATTTAGATCAAGAGGTGCCCTGGAATAAACTTTTGAAATGTAATCTTATAATTACAAATTATTCACTTTCTTAGTTTCCTTCCCTCTTTTAAAAATTTCCTTTTGAAAAGTGGCATAATGTCTTCCCTTTTTTTAAAGCTTTTATAAGTCTATCGTTCAGTTTTTTTTTTTTTATATAATTGATAGGGAATTAAGAAATTATTGAAGATTTCAAAAATCACGCTAATTCAAGAATCTTATAGTTGTGACAAAAAAATGAATGAAAGATTTCGTGACTTATTATGTTTCGTAAGCTCGACAATCCATGTGCGAAAGGTAAACCTGTTTTGGCCTTTTGGGCTATATGTGACAAGATTCCTCGATCGTCATTTTCTCAATATCTTCTCTTGGTTTCCACCGACCTTGGTCTATATTTTATTCCCGTTCCAATTTAATCGAGTTTAACAGAACAAGCATTAATCAAATAATTGAAATTGTAATGTTACCCAAATTACAATTAAATTAAGGGGAAAAGGTGAAAGAGAGAGTCAGAAAGAAAAAATAAAGAAATAGTCAGTGAAAAATAAGTTTATCCTTCGATCTTGATAAATACATAACTGAAAAGAAATACTTAAGTAACAGAAAGAAAAAAAACATATATATATATTATATTAGAGTTACAACATGAGAATTTTTTTTTAAAGAACAACATGAGAACTATACTTGTACAATGTACAAAGTACAAATTTACAAAGACAGAACCAAGAAAACAAAACAGTAAAATAACTGCTTCTTATACGAAGCAGCATGTTATTATCTTAGTGAAAATAATAATCATCGAAACTCAAAAGTAAGGAGGAAAATACACAGAAATAGACAAAATAAATTAGCCAACCAAAATATATATAATTAAACTAAGAGAAATAAAAAAAAACTCCCGACGGTGAAACTCCCTTCTGTTTTTGATCCAAGCCATTTTCAAGGGGGGAAAAGGGGTGCCTTGAGGTATACTGTAGTCACAGTCAAAGTCTCTAAGCTTTTCCTTATCATCCGTAGTAAAATCTCTTTTCCTTTTTCATATTTCTCCTTTTTCTTTTATTTGTGAAACCAAAAGAATAAACTTTTTTTAGATGGAGCCATAATCCAAACCTCCCCAACTGAAGTGAGATCCTTGTCGGACGATTGGGAAAGCGTGCATGAAGACGCAGACGCAAACGCAGACCGTCGCAACCGCAAGCATCGAGTGGATGATAGGAGTTGGGAAGAAACGGTGCGAACCTGAGACTTTCCTCTGATACTTTAGAGCCACCGTTGCACACGTGGCACAAGATGACTTGTTCATCTCCGAGCTTAATCTCCTACTCACACCCGTTTGGTCAACAATCTCGTTCTCGATGTTTAGCGAGACTTGCTTGTTTCTTTTGTCTGCAAGTTTACGAGCCACCAAGGAGTTATACGTATGATTGTTCCTCATTGCAGCGTAGCTGAATGGAGTTTGTCCGCTTGCATCGCAAAGAGAGTTCCAGCTCGATAATGCGATCTGCATCAGAAGAAAGAAAGGATTTTTCAGTTTTATTGAATCGAAAAATCGGTTTTTTTTTTCTCTCGCATCAACAGAGAGAGAGACACACACAATACCTCTTGTGGATCATTGGTGAGAAGATCAACGATATCATCAGAACCGGATGTACAAGCAGCTAAATGCAAAGGTGTGATACCCCCAGGTCCGGTTATATTGGGTAAGAACACAAACTTTTTAGAGGAACCGAGCGGCGCAGGATCAACTGAGTAATGAATGAGTAGTTCGACCATCTTTGTGTTTTTCCTCTTAATAGCACGATTCAACAACTGAATCTCGGCGAGCATATCCAAGGCTTCTCTGTTCAGCTCATCATTCACCAAATTTCTCTCTACCAACATGTCGAGGAGTGCTCTTGTGAGAGCACAGTAGTCTCTTTCAACTGAACAGACGAGCAAAAACTTGAACCGGGAAAGGGAAAAGTCAGACTGTTCCCGAGGCTCAGAGGTCTGGTTCTTCTGGAAAAGCCAACCAAGCTCGTTCAAGAAGCACAAAATCTCTTCTCTTGATGTGGGACGGCGATCTGAGGTCTGCGCTTGTTCTCCTGTCATATCTTGAGTTTTGGGGTGAAACTCCTCTTCGAGGCGATTCAACTCCTTGCAGATGGATGCATTGGCAATTATCAATGGAAAACTGTCACCTCTAAATCCATTCTCCACCTGTACACAAACTAGGTGTTTAAATATCTCTGCATTGACTAAGAAAACTAAAACGTTCAGTTTTTATGAAGTCATATACCTCAATGAAACAGCGTCCAATGGAACCACGTTGTGCGTTTTTTACACTGAAACTATTTACATTCAACTCGTCGAATGTGCCTTGTTTACAGGCTGCCCCGGCTACCTCCATTGACATGTAGCTACCCATATGTGTGCAGCGAAAACTGGCAGCACAATGATAATAAAGGTGAGAAAAGGAAGAAGAAAAGATGAGATGAAAAAACTCTCTTTGAAACTTTGATTTTTAGAGTTTACCTGATCCCATTATTAGTCAAGCTTCTACCTCTTAGTACTAAACTTGTTTCTTCACCAGCTACCACCGCTACAGGTGACACTGAGATGAGCTCTGGTGAGTTCCAAGTTCTCCAAGATTTGCTACAACGAATTCTACCTGTAACCAATGCCATGTTATGATCATTCTTGACATAGAATTGCAAATATTAAAGGTGACATGATACAAGTACCAATTCACGAGCACTCACCATTTTTGTGTGATGCGAGCTGTCTGCCTGTGTTGACTAGAAACCTCGCGTTTTTCCAAAAATCTGAATGAGAATTTTGTAACAAAACACCAACCCGTTGCAGCAAGTTTTGCTCGAGCTGAAAAGAAAAACGCGAACCGCTCCTAAGGTGCACAAACCATAGTTTAATTCAATAAACAAACACTTGTATATATCCACTTACTTCTTCCCAGGCCGCAGGTGACATCGCCACATAGACAGATAGAACAACACAACCAGGCCTGATATAACTCTCCATTTCTGATGGAATGCTCGAAAGCCAGTTATAGATCTGTAACAAAAGGGAGAGAGAATCACTATGAGGATTCAACGGAAGCAACCAATAACTTTCTATTTCGTGAAGGCTAGCTAGATTATGCCCAGAAATTATCACCTCAGTTCGTAATGTTCCAGGGAGCTGACTTGGATCTTTATCAAGTAGTTTAAAGACTATCTTTCCAGTGCGGTCCTGTTTGAATGCCATCAAATTTTAAAGTCATAAGCGGCTTGTTTTACTCTACATACACAGAGATGCTAAAGAGGAGTTTACAAGCTGCAAACCTGAGCATCAGAGTTTAAGCTAGGAGGAGAGTAGTCAGAACCAGAAGACGCATAACCAGACTGTTGCCCGAATCCTTTAAAGTTAGGATTTGCAGCTCCTCTATTTGATGCACCAAAGAGCTCAAGAGGCAAGCAACCCCCAGTCCTTGGATTTGTGTTTTTGTGATTCTTGGACCTCATGGTTTCAGGAGACGTTTGCAATGGGAATAACTCCTGCATGACTGGAGATGAAGATGGCGATCTATCCTCGACAGGGTTACTGCTGGCAGAAGAATAATACTTTCTCGAGGATGCCACGGTCGGTCGGCTCTCATCCTCCGGTGAGGAGGTGAATAGTTGTAGAGACAAGCTAGACCTAGTGTCTTGAGCATGCGAATCTGAATCCTGAGAAGGAGATTGGTTACTGCTACTGCTCCTCTCTCCCCCAACAGTTTTCTTTTCCAAATTGGTTGTAGCACCGTGGTCATAAGAAGATAACTTAGTCATGTCACTGTCTTTATTACCAAACCCACCTTGAGACAATATCGCTAGCGCATCAGGTGAAGATGAGCCTAACGTTGCCGAGAGAACAGCAAGCAAATCCATGGTAGAAGGAGAAGCCCCATTCATATCATTTTGGGGGTTCACCATTGGGCGATCCAGATTTTTCCTGGCTAAACTTCCAATATTGTTCAACTTAGAGACGAGATCCATAGGCAAAGGCAACGCATTTATCTTGTTAAGTATCTGAAGAAGCTGCTCTCTGTTAGGCACAGCTGGAGACCCCATTGGCTTTACCTCATTCTTACCTGCAGATGGCAGACCACAAATCTGTTAATAAAACATCCAAAGCAGAATTCTCAGACCAAACAAGTTCTGCATAGTCGCAAACTTGTACCTTGTGCACAAGCTAATGTGGTTAACAAAGCCATAAGATCCATATTGGGGATAGAGGTATTATCGCTGTTCCCGGGAACTCCAACTCCAGATGCAATCTCCTCAGGCTGCGTTGTTTTCCTCCTCCGTCTGTTGTGGCCAGCCAATCTACGCCTACAACTTCTTTTCCCCTCATCAAACTCAGAAAGAAGATGAAACCTGCAAAAAGAAACTCATTTAATGCCACATTCAAACAACAAAGGACAACCATTTCCACAAAGATTAAATTGATTCATTTCTACCTGCTGCACTGTTGGCAGAACCTCTGCATCTGTTTCCCAACAAGAGCTTTAGTAGCTTTACTATGAAGTTCACACACTTTATGCCTTCTATGGTAGTCCTTAGCATGAGACAAATCTTGGGTACAATTGTCCACCTGACACACCGGATAGTTCCCTCCGCTTCCCGGAGATCCAGACCGAACCTTCTTGCTTGGTCTAGTTGCCTGCGTCATGTCTTCCACGGCGTTCAGACAACTTCCCAGATTCAAATCAAGCCCCCTTTCTTCTCCCTCCTTCCGCGAGTTCAAATCAAACTGTGTCTCGTTCCCAAGCCGGAGATGAACCTCCGCGTCCACCGGTTTAGCTTCGAATCTCCGGCTATCCCAATCCCACATCTTAGAGTTCCACTCGTCTCTACGTTGCGGCTGCGGCTGAGATGGAGCCACACGATTCGACATCTGGTAATAAAGATTGCGTTTTCTCCCCATCGGAGATAGCGATTGGTGAATGAAAATCGGAGCAGCCACCTGAGCGCCCACCTCATCCATATCTCCCTCTCTCTCTTTCTCTCTCTTTCTCTGAAAATCGCTCCTCTTTCAAGATTCGACCCTCCAAAAGTAAATTAGATCAGGTGGAAGAAGATTCAGTTGGAGAAGAACATCTTCAGTGAATCTAACGGGAGAACGAACCTATCATTTCTACTGATAGCTAAGAGGTCCAATCAGTGAACCCAGAAATCTGATGCAGAATCGTAGCTTAAAGCTTTCAACTTTTCCTCAACCCAAGAAGAATTCGGTAAAAAAAATCGAATGTAAAAACAACCAGAGAAGTTTCTTCAGATTCGAACTATTTTTCAAAAACGAATCTTCAGCTTGTAGATTTTCCCGATCCAATCCAGGAAGCAAGAAAAAAGATGGATTTTTTCTCCTCACAAGCTTCTCTCTCTCTTCGACCGACCTTATTCAGACAGATTCTCCTTCTTCGTCTTCCACTTCTCGTTAAGCTTTTCCTTGTTCTGCTCATGTCTTCAAGTCCTTACCTTGTACGATAACTTTATTTTCTTATTTGTTTTCTACGGTGTGGTGGCACATTGTGTAATTTCCAACGGTTAAGGAGGGTATTTGTATAATGTTATTCGAGCCGCCCATATGAGAGATAGTAGTTGAAGGATCCAAGACACTTCCTTTTTTTTTTTTCTTTCTTTTTTTTTTTTGCTTTTTATCCATTTGTTAAAAAAATTTCAACATTCTCACCCTTAATTAACGGTAAGGACGGCATTTCACATTTGTATAAGATTGTTTTGTATAGTTGAATTTTGAAATGTAAGTCGATGCAAAATACTAAACACATATCTTATATATGTATTTATGCATACGTTGATGAACGTAAAAACCTTTAATCAGTGTAAAGTTGATATCGTGGAAATTAAACGAGTTTTAGGTTTGTTATGCTTTTTTATATCAGTCGAAACAAAATTCGAACACGTTATAACACAACATGAAGCAGAAAAACTCGAACAAACCAAAACGATCAGCTCTAGTTACATGAATGAAGTTGACTCCAACATGTATAAACTAAAACTGTAAAAGCTATTTAGTTTTACTTAGGGAAAAGAATATATTGATACAAATAATTAAAAGTTTTGAATGGTGATCAACAGATAACAAAAAAACGATGGGAATATTGAATTCCTCTTTGTTCTTATAAAATTACACTATTTTGTAAAAATTTAATATACCTAGATAGAATATTTTTATAATATGGGTCCCACGAACCAACTGCTTAACTCATACAGTCATACCATGTTATATTGCTACGTTTATTTAATTTAAGCACTATAGTTGTAAACATGTAACATGCCTAAGTGATGAGTGATAATGATACTATCGTCGAATTTTCTTTGAGACATGGAGCTCCTAACAAAATTTGCCTAACAAATTGTCTACTTCTTTATGGAATTGAGATGTACATAGTCCTATCTAAGAGGAATAGTCAGTTATTTTTCTTTCATCTCTGATATTTTAATCGAAAATAATAGATCTAATATGAACAAACTAAAATATTAAAAGGTTAAAGATTGCTTATTTAGTATTATTAAGATTAATATACCAAGCTTAATGGAAACTAATTAAATAGATGCATAATGAGATAAATGTGGAGTAAGGCTGGAGAAAATTTTCCAATATGACACCAACAAAAATAATATCAAAATTCATAAAAAAAATTGATCGTATATTACCCATCTTATATTCATAACATTCTGTTCCCGTCCTATATAATCTCAATTCGAAACCTAAATCAAAAGAGACGTAATAAACTCAAATATGAACTTAGAGTATTTTTTCTTCATATTATTACAGTTTACTTACTAAGCTTAAGGCTTCGAATAAGAAGGAATACGTGGAAAATGAAATAGATGTTGAAGAAGATATAGATGTGAGACTAAGGAAAGTTTTGTTTGGATATTATATTATCCATCCTACACTATCAGATCATGCCATTCTGCTCCGTTTTACACTTGGGAAACCTATAAATCTGGAGATTGTGTTACGGGGAAGTCGTCGTCACCACGTAAGGCAAGGATAAAATTAAACAATCCCACCAAAAACCTGTCGATAAATGAAAAAGATCAAACTACCCATACGTTTTCTGAATATTTACAAAAGTATAGCCCTCTTGTAGACATTAGACAGATTGGACAAGACAAGAGATAGAGAGGCCACACCCCACACACACACACGTACGGTTTTATGTTGCAAGTGGCTCGTTGTCCTTCTTCTTCTCTTAATTCCAGAAAACGACGTTGTTATCAGTATCGTTATTAATGAACTTTAGCATTATTATAGTCTATCTCTGTTAATCGTGTCTCATCATACTCATCTCGTGTCACCTTTTTATTCGTTCATCGATTCCCTACCAATGTTAGTGTTAATCCATAGTACGCAAGAACTTCAATTGGTGACTGTTTAAAACGTAATACATATGAAAAAGAATTAAAGAAAATGATTCGTGAAAAAATCAAGAACAGTTGAATCAAGAGAAAGATCATATGTAGTTAGGTATCATTGAATCAAGAGAAAGATCATGTTTATGTAACACTGATTGTATTCTCATGTTTTACTTCTTAATTATGCATCAAATATAATCTTCGAAAACAAAGTTTGGAGAATAGTGTGGGATCATATTGTATATTTTCACTAATATACTGGAACTTTTTTTTTGGTCAACAATACTGTATAATGGAATCAAGCGCAGAAGCGATAAAAAAAATTCTATAAGAATTATTCATTTTTGTAAGCCAAATGTTAACTTTATATATACTGTACATATATTAAAAGTTCAAAAAGTATATGTGTGTGTTTTATGTATAATATAATGGGGAAAGGTGAAAGGGAAATAGCTGTGAAGTTGGTACGGAAAGACGAGTGCAATGGATTGGACCATTATCTCACTAATCAATTCAGTATGTTGTTCCCCATTGTTGATTGTACTATGATATATACTACAACTCTCACTATATTATTTTAATAGTTTTATAGTTTAAGAAACACTATTTATTGGGAAAACCTATAATTCGAGCAACCTAATTTATTTTCAATGTATAACTTTATGGATTCTTTTAGTTTGGAACTTGGAAGTATTAGCCCGAAACGATTACGGTAATCGATCAAGGAAGTAGCCACAGACACCAATACTGGACTGTCAATATTATTAGTAAACACCATTACAAAAATATGATTGACCTATTTCATAAATTTTTGTCGATAGATGCAACACTATTGGAACATGACAGGTTTTAATCATGCGTAAAGAAGCTAGTTCATTATAATAATTGTTGCGCATTTTGCCCAATTTTTTATTGATTACGTTCGACTTTAAACGAAATATGCACTCCGGATAATAGAATGTTATATATTTTTGTTTGCTAGCTGCTTGGTTAACCGCATACTATGAAGTTGTTAATTTGGTTTCAACATTAGGCTTCTATATAATCTTGAACACCCTGTTTAATAATTTTATTGTGGCATTATTTGTTGTACATAATTGATCTGAAACGACTATATTTAGTGTGTCGTCCGACAAATTCTCTTCCCAACATTTTCTGGAACAAAAGGGTTTTTTGTTCACAGATGCCATATATATGTAGCTATATGTCTGTATTATATAATACGATATATTGGGTTAGTTTTTGTATAAAAATATTGGACTCGATTAGGTGTCTTCTATAATTTATAATCTCCTTTCTTATTTATAAAATATTAATATAGTCAGATACTCAGATCTATTCTTGCAATATCATAAAATATCGGGTTTGACTTATATACCGATCTAAACCATTCAAAACTGAAACCAAATAACACTAATTTATAATCTGATATAGTGATATGGATAAATTTTAGTTGAAAACTAATGAACTGAAATGAACAAAACTGATTTCAATCCTACGAATGAATGAAAAATATTTAACAGTACACTATTAAACTTATTATTTGTTTTTATTTGCAGTTAATATTTATATATATAAAAATCAATAAAACAGAGTTTTCTAAGTGAACTGAAATATTCTTATTAATAATTTTTAAGCCAAACTAAAATATTCTGAATCGAAACAAAAAGAATTTAAAAGAATTTTGCCACCAATTCTAATCCTTGAAAAAAGAAGAAGAATTTGCCACCAATTCAGTAAAGAATATACCCATATGTCGTTGGAAAACTGAGAGAGAGAGAGATCTCAAACGTCACATGGTGGTCCAAAGTCCAATCACAGATCAAACGTGCAATGTATTGAGCCTAATCTCTCAACATCCTCATGCAACATGCTTCCTACCACGAACAACGGCGGATTTTTATTTTCCTTTGTCATGTAACAATACTAAATAATATGTTTATATTTGTTCCATCTCCATATATTCTATGTTAAAGATTCATGAAATCATTATTTTTTTTTTCGTGAGAGAAAGTAATATACTCTCGAATCTTTTCATGTTTTATAAAGTAGGAATGTATAATCGGATATAAACTAATGTGAATCATCAATATGTAAAGATTTTAAACCAATTCATTTGATTGGTGGTGATACAACTTTTCTGATGTTACATGTCATGGTCACTAAAATTATTTTGTTAGCTTGAACGAAACTGATCTCTAACTTTAAAACTACTAATATGTATTATTAAAAAAATCTTCGCCAGATACTTATAAGAATACTAAGTTTTGTTTTTTTTTTCCAATATATGGTAGATGAAAATATCGTTTTTCTTTGTTGTTTTACCCGTGGTCACGTTTAATTTTTGTGGAAAAAACATTTGAAATAAGTCAAACGGAACATTTGCGTTTAACAATACACATCCAATAATGCATAAGATGTACGTTAAAAGAAGAAATTCAATGAGTAACTCTTTCGTACAGATATAACCTATTTTGTTTGAACTTTGAGTGTATCACTGTATGGTACTAAGGTTCATTGGACGTGGTCGTGACTTGTATAAGAATAAACAGTATAAGTACAATTATTTTCCATTATTATCTTAACCACTTATTTCAACTCACTGTTTTGTGATGTGAAACTTAGGATATGTCAACTTTAATAAACATATAAATCAATTTTATAATAGAAAGCCCTCGAATTATTGAAAAATGTAATATTAAACCATTCATTTTAAAGATTTGAGAAAATAATTCTTCAAACGCATTTGAAAGCATTGGTGAGTAGCTTTAAGTCTTTGCATTTTAAAATATGTCTAACTTTAATAGAATTTATTTTGTCTTTCAACACTAATTATGATTCTTTACATAGATACTATTTGTTTTATGGTTGACAAAAGATATAAATATTTAGAGAATTGCCCAATATATTTTTTCCCATGTCAAATAATAGAGAGCCCTGAGAGAATGATATGAAAAGGGTAATGCGGCAGCTATATCCCACGTGTCTTGTGAATGTAAAAAAGATTCGGCTGTGTTTGAACGCAACTATTTTTCTATCTTAATTTCCACAAATCTGTCTTACATAGATTAATGGCGAGTCCACGAAGCAATACAAGAAAAACTAACTATTTTATGCGTAGTAATTAGTTTGTGGGTCATGGGAAGGAAATAAATTTAGATGTGGAGTCAAACATTCGGATAATATTGTTGATTTATCGCTTTTAAAAATCTGTATAATATTGAACGTGAAACTGTGAAAACAAAGAGTTTATGTCATTTTCTCAGAAAATGTATACTATTCATGTCTCTTTTCCAACTCGTAGTTCTATTTTTTTGATCATTTGCTTCTAACGACAACTTTCTAAAAGGCACTAGTATAACCACATTTTAAAAGTGATCGATGCTAAGATATACTCCTATGAAAGAGAGCTGGTGTTCTTGCAGGCAATTAAAACAAATGTAAGATATGATGGATTTATCTTTGTGAGATAGTATATGGCCATATCAGTCACTAATGTGAAAGATTTGATCTATAAAGAATGCTACAACGATATGATGACAGTGCCCAACAAAACCAAAAAAGATAACTATCAAAACCAATATAGAACATGAAACGGATTCACTAGCGTTGATGGTATATAAATAAACCCACCACCGGCATCATTGACACCGCGTAATAATTTAAAAAGGGTTTGTGAAATTGGATCATTAATTTGACGAGGTAAAAGGAAGATGTTTAGACGACCACTTGTGTTTCTCTGCATCCTCCAAAACCCACACATCATTTGGAACATCTTTAGATTTCGAACTAACAGAACTACATAATCTACCATCGATCGGGTCGTATTATCCAAAAACTTCCATTTCTTAGAGGACCAAAACCAACTCAAAGTGTGATCTTGGTCCTTATTTTGACTATAATGGGTAAACAATGCGAAATACAGTGGCGGTGCTAATACTTTCTACGACATAATTTTTATACTATCCGATTAAGGATATAGATGAAGTATTTTTTTCCTAAGCAAACCTTATCTGACTTTTGGACAGAGATTTTTGTTGAAGGTTATTTATTTATTTTTTTTAATAATGGTACATAAGTTAAAATTCAAATATAAAAGACGGGAAGATGTATTGCTTTAATAAATATATTATGGTTTTAAAAAAAAAAAGAAATCGTGTTTCTTACACATATACCCACCAAGCAAAACCAATCTAATGTCTGTCGTGTGAAATCAATGAATCAGAGCTTCCACTTTAAGAAAAGAAAAGAAGAGAAAAAAAAACACCAAACACAATCCAAACTAATTAAGATGAGGAGCCAAAAACTTACTATAAAAAGCACAATGGGAAAGTGAGTGTAAGTGTGCCACTCCATTTGTCTCATATAAACCAGAGATTTGCGGGAGAGAAGGAGAGATTGGCGTTACCCAGAAGGAACAATGCGAGAATGACCACAACTATGAGTCCGATCCACATCCATTGTCGCAATTTTCTCTTGCTTCCTCGGTTCCTTAAAGGCAGAGGAACGGATTTTGACTTGTTTTGTTTGAGAAACTGTGATGATGGTTTGTGGGATTTCTTGATTTTTTGACTCTCCTCCGCGGTTTGTTTCTTTGGGATTTCAATCTCCCTTGGAGTTTCGACTACAGTTTCTGATGTCTCAACTGGGTTTTCTGCAGTCTCTTCTGATGTAATAACCCCTTTTCTTCTCTCCTTCTTCCTTAATTTCTTTTCTCGTTCCTACACAATAGAGAATTGTCATCAGATCAATGGCATGCTTAGTGTATTTGAATTATACTTGGGTCATGGCATAAGAAATATGCTTTATTTTCCTGAAAAGTTACCTTCTCTCTTTCTTCAGCTTCCTTCTGAGCCTTAAGAGCGGCTCTTGCTTTTGCCTTTTCTTCTCTCTTCTTCTTCCTCTCCATTGCTTCTTTCGCTTTTGCTATCTCCTCCAACCGTTGCTGCTCCTTCATCTTAGCAGCTTCCTTTTGTTTTCTCTTCTCCTCTTCTTTCTTAATCAACTCCTCTTCCTCTTTGGTTAACTTAGGTGGCTCTTCTTCTTCTTCTTCTTCTTTCTTTGTTGCTGATTTCTCTATCTCCTCTTTTCCAGAAACCAATTCCTTGACAATTGGTGGAGGCTGGTCTGGCTTGACGGCCTTTTTAGATTTAGTAGTGGTCTGATTCTTCTGCTCTGCGGGTTTTGCATCATCCTTTCCACTGTTTTCAGCTTTTGAACCTTCATATTTAACGACCTTCTCTTGTTGTGCTGAAGCTGGTGGAGCTGTCTCATGTTTATCTGCTCTGTCACTTGAAGTTCTAAGTTTGTCTGTTCTTGTGGCATAAGTGATCCGGGGTGGTTCCTCATCAGGGCCAAGAGATCGTCCATCTAGGGTTCCTAGTCTTCTGAAGGTACTCCTTGTGTTGCTTTTTACATAGTAGTTACGGAACTCCTCGTTGTTGTTCCACATATTCATGAAATTCTCCACCTGTTTAAAAGACAATGATGAGTGCAAAACCGACATACATGTATTAAATTAAATAACCTTGCAGAAATTTGGCTTTTGCTTATACCTGGTCAGAACAAAGGCTTTGGAGGGCTGCTCTGTCTTTCTTCAAAGCCATTTCATTTGCTGCCCTTGAATCATCTCTGTACTTGAAGAAATATTTGTTCTGCAATATGAAAAAAAAAAAAGCAAAATTGGAAGATTAATCTAAAACATAGATGCAAGCGTTCGTAAGTTTATGTCCGGTTCCAGGTGCTCTTTGGATACCTTTTCTCGTTGTTGTTTCTTCAGATCCTGTAGGTGCACAAATGCTTCCTGGCGAACAGCATCTGCAGCTCTGAACTGTTCTTGCAGTTTACTCAGCACTTCCCATTCCTCTTCACACTTCTTTTTAGCAGCTTTTGCGACTGCTTCGGCTTTTGAGAGATCGCTTCTGAGCACGTCTAGTTCCTTCCTCAACACCTGTAATCACCAGACATGTCACATTATGCATTGTGTAAATGATATTCGCAAAAAAAGGATGAAGTACCTAAATCTCTCTTTCAAGCGACAATATAGGTTGAATCAATGTATATAGACAAGAACGGGTATCAACTAAAGAAATCCAGATAGGAAATTAAAGATCACTGCTAGACTGTGTAGACTGTAGTGTACCTTCAAACGCTCTTCTGTTTTGTCTTTCTCATCTAATGCTTGCTTAACTTCATCCTTGGTACCCATACTCGAAGATATCTGACCACGGAGTTGCTTCAACTGCTTTATTTCCCGAATGAATCCTTTTTCTTCACTCAGAGATAAAGTTTCGTGTTGTATCATGTGTTCCATATTATGCACCTGGTTGCAGGCAGAGAAGTGAGATAGATTAGCATAATCAAATTTGACAAGCAAAATACTCGAACAAAGACTTAGCCTACAGGGAGCCTCACCCTCAAATCAATATCGTCAACAGACGCAGCATTCTTAACCCGGCTAATCACAGACTGAAGAGCCTCAATTTCCTGCCGTTTTGAATGCATTGCCTTTCTTGCAGATCTTTCTTCTGCCATGGCGGCCTTGTAGCTAATATCATAGTCCTTACATGTTGCCTAGAGATAACCATGTAAAAAAAAAAATCAAGAGCCAAATTTAGAATAAAATACTTTGCCTTATGACAGATCTCAAAAGCATTTCTTACGCGTATCTTTTGGATGTCCGCTCTAAGAGCATCCCGACTCTGTGTTTTCTGATCAACCTGCGCATCAGCATGCTTGAGTAGCTCAGCTAACTTTTCGTCATCATATCTTGGAACTCTAGGCAGAAAGTAAAACGGTCTTTTCTCGATCTCTGCCGCTACAGTTTGTCCTTCAGAAGCATCAAGTGCAGAACCTTCTGCAGACGATGCTGATGCTAGGTCTTTCTGAGTTTCTCCAATCTCACATGTCGAGGCTACTTTATCATCTGTTCTAACAGCATCTCCTGAACACCACAAATTAGATATACAATCAACTCCAGCCTTCTCATCCTCAACAGGAGAAGTACGTAGTCTAATTTCATTTTCAATTAATTTATTACCTCCTTCGTTTTCCGCAGGTTGGCTGTCCACGCAGTCTTTAGCTCCTGTGTGTATGGTATCAGTAGATGTAACCACTTTAGATTCAGGACCATGTGCACCGGTCTTGGTTTCAGATGCAACTGAGGCAGTAGCGCCACTTGTCTCATTTTTTTCCTTTATAGAACCCTCTTCGCTTACCGTTACTATATCATTGTTGACGAGAGGAGATTTTGTGCTGCCAGAGCTCTTAGTATTGGAATCGACTTCTTCATCTGTATTTATCGCAGATCTTTCTTTGATATCCGATTCTTCCATCTCAGAAACTTCTTCAGATGGTGTATCCTCACACACATCAAATGGAGTGGTCTTCGTCACATTCACTTCTGAACCACAATTGACTTCTCTGTTTATTTCACTATCTTCAATAGCGCGTGCAACATGGGTTTCAGTGCTATCTTTAACTGATTGCGCATCTTCAGATGCTATGTGTTGCTTTCCATCTTGATCACAAGCAGGTTCACTGGCATCTTGAGATTCTTGATGGGTATTCATACTCTCATCAGACAAGGAGACATCAACTGCTTCAATTTCAGATTGCACCTTGCTGTTTTCAATAAAATCAAAGTCCTGAATCGCTTCAGATTCGACTTTGCTATCACCATTTTCAACAACACCATCTTTGCCAGAAGTTTGGGAATCCAGGCTGACGGAAGTAAGAGTTTGAGACTCAGCTGGGACATCACTACTTACCTCTGATACAGAAACTTCCACGGTTCCAGAGTCTGGCAACACATCATCATTGGAAGCATTGACCTTTTCTGCCTCTGAAGTGAATGGAACATCACCAATTTTCTCCAACTCTGATTCTAATAGAGGGTGACCGTTTTCAACAGGAACAGATTCCAAAACTGCTACAGATTCAGGTTCAGATCCAGTCAGATCATTGACCGATTCTGATCCAGTGGGATCATTCACAGATTCAGATCCCTTAATGGTATCATCTGGATCTGTTAGCGTAGGTTGTCCTAAACCCATGTCTACATCATTTGGGTCAATAGGAGAAACCTTGGCGCTTACCAACTCAGACTCCCTTCCCTCATCTGAATCAGCTGGGAGCTTGGCTACACCCTCGTTATGTTGTAGATCTTCGGAAGCAACCACGCCAAGATCAGATTTTTCTTGAGCTTCAATCCTGTACCCTTGATGTCCCTCCACATCTGTTTTACTACCAGATTCGATATTCCCTTCAAGCTTTTCCTGCAGATGCGCAGGATCCTCCACGTTATTCTTTGGCAGATCCCCGGGTCCAACTTCGGAATCTTGACCTTGTTCCACTTCCTCTGTAGATTCCAATTCACCATCATGCCCAGTTTCAAGATGCCCATTAACAGGATGCTGTTGTTCGACACCTTTTTCAGGAAGATCCTCAATTTCTGACTTTGGGATCCCAACGACTTCCTCTGGCCCATCAATTGCCCTTTCTTCTTCAGACTTTTCCAGGGTTTGACTATCTTGGGAGACTCCCAAAACATCATTGGGAGTAGCTCTAGCCTCCACCTTCAGATTCTCTCCCTCCTCTAGATCTTTCTCCACATTGGCATCAAATGGCTTAAGTGGATCAGACTCAGCAGAATCATCTCCTACGGTATCGTTTTCCGTTATGAAAACGTAGGAACCATCGGTATCCTCCTTGTCATTTCCGTTGCCATTACTGCCGCCGTGGCTGATCCCATTTCCTACGTGCTCTTTCGTGGTCGGAACTACTATCTCCGGTGTATTCTCAGTCGCATTCTCAATATCAACCTTCACCGACACCTCTCCTTGGTCTCTCTCCACCTCCACCGGCATTTTCACAGCTTCCACCGACGAAATCACGGACGAAAAACTAATCAAACCCGTACGAATAAATCAGATCAAACGAAATTGCAGACAAATCTAGCAAAAATTACCGGAAAAATACGCGACAAAAAAAATCGACTAGAGATCAAACCGACATGAAAGGAGATCAGAGAAAGTTCCGGGAGAGAAAAATCGATTCAACTAACCTCGAGATCAGGCTTGTCGCCGGAGATTTCGAATGCTGAGATAGTCGGATCGGCAGGTAAGACAATGCCGGCGATTGGTAGAGGATGATTTTGAGGAATTTTGGAGCAATAGAGTTCGACGAGGGAGAAGAAAGAGAGAGAGATGAAGAAGAAAACAGCTGGCTCAAGGAAGGAGAATAAAGACGAGAAGCCTCTTCGCTGAACAGAGGCCTTCTTTAATCACATTTGAATTGTTTTTTTAATTTTTTGCTTATATCTTAATTAATTAACACCAATGTCTTTGTGTTTTCATACGGTAAGTATTTGGATTAGCACAAAGTAAGGGACTAAATCAGTTTAATTAGTAGTCATAGTTTCATGATCTTTTAAAAACTAATTGGGTGGTATAAATACGTAACTTTTATTTAGATTTATCCAAATATTGGCTGTTAAGATTTCACTATTATGAAAATGTAGTTTTTACGTCATTAAATAGTAGTTTAGTTGATTATGAAGTTTATCCAAATATACTTATTAGCGAAAAGTAAGATATAATTTTAACCATCTTTTGATAGAAAAAATCTTTAAATATTTATGATCATTTAAAGTTTAGATGTTGTACAAACTTTAGATATTGTATGAGATCGTGGTGTGGTATCTAAAATTACAACTATCTATTCTTATAGGTTTCAGAAATTGTCTTATTTTGCACAATCGGATAATGCAATGATTTTATTATTTTTTAAAGTGAAGAGGGAATTGCTAAAAATAGGTCACAATTTGAATGCAAATGCAAAAATATACCACAAATTCAACCTATTGCAAAAATAGGTTAAAAAGGTAGATAAATTACTATTATCTCCTACATGAGTAAACAAAAAAACGGAGGACTCTATTACAATTTTAACCCTGCGAAGTCTGCAAATATTAATGAAGTCTGCAGAGCAGACTTATAAGAAGTCTGCTATATTATTAAATCTTATATTTAAAATTTAAAATTATATAAAAATAATTTAAACTGAAATTTGTTTCTATAAATCAAATGTCAACAAGTATGATCTATATAAATTATAATTTAATAAAAATAAATTATTTTAAACCATCTTAGATAAACATCAAAAGTGAATAATTTTAAAGTAGGATTGTAGACTTCTTTATAAGTCTGCTCAAACCGTAAACGAAATTAAAATAAAATATTGATTTAAACCGGAAATAATTAACCTAACCAGATATAACCGGATATTTTTGCCCTATTATATAAATGAGATTTTACCCTAAATCAGAAACTCTCCACTTTGATCCCTCTCTCCAAAAACGGCGCTGCATTTTCTTTGTTGCTGTAATCCTCTTTGTTGCTGCTCTCCATTTTTGCTATGTTCTTCGTTCAATTGAGTTCGGATCTGCAATCATCTACAACAAGGACCAAGCTTGGGACGACCACGTAAGAATCTGTCCCATTTAATTATTTTACAAATTTTTGTTGATTTCATCTTCTTCTAATGCTATTTTGGTCGTTTTCTTTGTTATTGCAGTGGATTTTCTGGGTGAGACTATTCGTTGGTGCAGCTCTTGTGGCTCTCTACCAACAGCTTGTCATCAGAGCAATTCCATTCATGACCACAAGCTGATTTCTTTCTTAGATTAGTCCCTTTCTTTTTTAAGTTTTTTGTTTTTTTTTTCACAGAGGCTTTTTCCAGTGTATTGTTCTCATCCTTTTCCTATTTTATTTTCTTTCTCTCGGATCCATTGTCTGTATCCCATGTTCTAAAAAGCGGCCGCCAAGACCAATTAGTCGTTTAAGACTTGAAATTAAATTCTTTGAAAATTCTTTTTTTCTTCGTTTAAGACTTGAAATCAATATATGTATGCCAGATCTATAAGATTTAGGTGTGAATAATAAGAATAATGCAAAAAACTGACTGATTATGTGAAAAAATTGGCTTGCGGCCGCGAAAAAGAGTAGCAGAACTCGAAAACCCTAGATAGAAGACGAAAACAAAATTACAATTATGCCCTTTTTTAAAACAAAAAGAATAACCAAAATAGGAAGCATAATGGTTCGAACCCACGTACTTTGGGCAACAAGTGGGTCTGTTTCCACCAGACCACAAAAGTTTGTTAACGTTGTACGCGTTAGTAAAGTAATTTATATACTATCAAGACCGTTAACAAAAGTGGCCAATAGTTAAAGTTGAGGACAAACCATGACAGATAAATGCAAGAATAACTGATTTTTCAAAATTATACAAATGCAAGAACAATAAAAAATAAAAATAATTGAAAGGAAGTAGACTTCTAAACTTCTTTAGAAGTCTGCAAAAATAGATAAATCAAACAAGAAAACTCATTACTTTGTAATTATAACACATAATAACGTCAAACTCATATAGATGCAACACAAAAAACAAATAAACATGTCAAAACAAGAAAATTATTTTTACAAGTAACAAATATTTCAAAAATGAATTTTTTTAAAAAATAATTAGGCAGACTTCGTATGCAGTCTGCTATGATATGCTAATACGTAACAGTAGACTTCATCTACAGACTTCTTTAGAAGTCTGCTTAGATGTGCTAATTACCTTTCAAACCAAAAAAAATTCATAACTTTATAATTATAACACATAAACACACCAAACTCATACAAGTGCAAGAATCATACATAAAATGCATTTACAATTTAAAATTAAAAAAAAACATTACAAATACTTTATAAAATGCATTTTAAAAATTTAAAAAAATACAGACATCCGTTCAAAATCCGCCGGGGAAATTTCACGTTGAAATCTTCTAAAAAAGGGTTATTTTTGCATTTGACCAAATATTTGACTTTTCGTAGTAGACTTCTTTTTGCAGTCTGCGAGAAGAAAATGTTATTTTTGTAATTGACCAAAAGTTTGACTTTTAGAGCAGACTTCTTTCTTCTTAAGAAGTCTGCTGACGAGTAAAAGAAGTCTGCTATAGTAAAGAAGTCTGCTTATGAAATCTACTCTACAAAAGAAGTTTACTCAAGGTTATTTTTGCAATTGACCAAAATGTTGGCTTTCGAAGCAGACTTCTAAAGTCTGCTATGCGCAGACTTCTTTAACAGTCTGCTTGTAGGTCAGATTTGCATTTGACCGAATCTTAATTAAATAAATAGCAGACTTCTAAAAAAAGTCTGCTATTTATTTTTTTGTAGCAGACTTCAATTGAAGTCTGCTACAAAGTCAAAAGTTGTCAAAATCTTGGTCAATTGCAAAAATAACCTCTCAAGTCAAATTACGAAATAGCTATAAAAGTCAAAGTTCTTCAATTTTTTTGGTCAAATGCAAAAATAACATTTTCTTCTTGCAGACTGCAAAAGAAGTCTACATGATTTTTTTTGTTTACAAAGGACAATTCGCAGACTTCTTTTGAAGTCTGCTTACACAAATATTAAAAAAAAGTCAATTGCAAATCTAACCTCTGCGTTGACTAGCAGACTGAAAAAGAAGTCTGCTTTCGCGAAACAGAGCTAAATGTTAAAGAAAATGAAGTAGATGTTTACCTACTTCCAATTTAAATTCAATTAACTTTGACAAACACCCATAATTTTGTATAGCACCGATAACAAACTAGCTAAGTCGTTGTTATGCAAGAATCTCCAAAAATAGATGATTTATGAAATTGGAATTTATAAAAATGAGCATGAAAGAGTTTTTTAGATGAAATTGGAGAGAAATTTGTAGGTAAAATGAAGTTATAAGCGACATAATAAGCATTTAGAGCTTCAAAATTGGTTGGACAAATATTTAGAGCTTCAAAACTGGTTGGTAATGGTGGTTGGCAAAATTGAAGAAGATGACATTTTCGTGAATAAATGATATATTTTAGGATGGTTGTGTCTTTTTAGTATTTTTAAGAAAAAAAAATTAAAAACATAATGGCATTTTTGTGAATATATATGGTTGTAAGGAGATAGTAGGGAAAAAGTGGCATTTATTAAAGAGGGAGAAAAAAGAGGTTACTTTTGCATTTGACTTCAAATTGTGAGTTATTTGTGCAAGTACCCCTAAAATGAAAAAGGGAATCCAATTAAGAAACGCAAAGAGGATTTTTATTTTCATTACTATAAATAAAAGTGCAATTATCTAACAAAATTCTCTTTAATGTATGAGATACAAACCTAAAATTCGAGTAAAATAGAATAAATAAATCTTCTTTGGCGTTTGCATTGTAGTTTTTAATACATTAGCTATAATTTTGGTTATGTGTTGTTTTAATAGAATAGATTGACTATTGATACTAATTATCTAGTGTATAAAAGCTATTTCGCGAAATTAAAAATTAACATGAGAACAGAACGATAAGAAAAAAAAGTCTTATCAAGTTACAAATTACATCATTATTAGTCATAGACGGGTCGGGTCGGGTCGGGTCGGGTCGGATAAAGTAGCGCGTGAGGAGGATGGGACCCGCTGTTACCAAAACGGATATGCGCTTTCTGTTCCACACGGAAAACGACGTTCTTCTTCTTCTTTGGAGTTTGGGACTCTCTCTCTCGCTCATGAATTATTTGATTGCTGAGGTTTCCTAAGACGAAAATGATTATGTAATATCTAAGCTCCTTTATCGGTGTTAAGCTGAACTATTATAATAAACAAATTATGAAAAAGATAAATCCAACATCGATGGATTAGCTGTGTAACTAAACAAGCTACAGTTTGTTAATGTTAGATTAAATCGAATTTATGATATTACCGACTATTTTTTAGAACAATAAATTTAAATTGTCAACAAATTTAATCATCACTCCTATTTAAATGTAGGTGCCAAACTATTTTTTATAACTTACCTATTGAAAATTAAGCAATTAATGGTCATAAAAATATCAATCATGGTCCATCCTATTTTCAAATAGGTTGAAGATGGGAATTCTTCTTTTTCAACCTCTCGACGGAAAATGACGTGCTTACTAAAATTATATTAAATATATCTCGGATTCGGTGGTAATATACATACAATACAACATATTTAACATAATATTTAACATGATATATATATATATATACAAGCCACATTAGATTATGACACTTTTTCTGCGCCAATATACATATTCATGACAGTAGCTTACTTAATTTTGGCCATATGATGCTCCTTCATAGTTGATGAACAAAAAATCTAATTCGTAAACAGAATTGAAATTTTTTAACAAAAACAAAAAAAAGCATGGAAAACACGTTAATA